AGTCCAGTCCAGTCCAGTCCAGTCCAGTCCAGTCCAGTCCAGTCCACGAAATACCATATGCCTGTTCTGGATTCAAGCAAATGTAATTCCTAACACTGAAAAACGTTTTCTGTATTGAACGACACTACGTTTATAAGATTGAAATACGACTGTTAACAAAGAAACTCACCGTCACTCATTCCTGGAGAATCGGCCATATCTTGTCTTACATTTGGGCTTTCGCCTGGCTTTTACTCCCAGAGCAAAGGTAAATCAGGCGAAATTCAAGCTCGAGGAAACTAAAGTCACAATAAATCTCGTTTTTCGCTCTTAAACACTAAGCGTTTGGGATGTTTTCGACCAAAAAGTCAAAGTTTGTTTTGCTTGAGTTGATCGCCACGATGAACGGGACGCTGGTTTGCTTGCTCACCAGAAATGCGTTGCTATGTGATATCCAAGCACGTGATTAAGTCCTGCAAAGAGCCTATCCAGGCTCAAATTTTCAGAGTAAAGTACGCATGCAGTCTGAAGTATTGAATTGGCTGGTATATTGTACAAACGTCCACGTAACTATATATCGGGGAAGATGTAATAATCAAGTTGAATTTTGAAGTCGTTAGAGAAGAAGAATTCAAGGTTAAACTTTTCCATTCTGGTGTATACTTTGTTTCTTTAATTATTAATTGCGGTTAAGGAAACGAATGATAGAAGTGAAGTTTTTGATATCAAAGGAAGCCGCTCTCGTTAGAAATTTCGGAATACATTTGTAATTGCCATAAAACTTGAATAAAACAACTAACTATAAGAAGTACGGAATTGCCAAATTTTCTGAGCAGCAGCGAGAGAAAAGATGTATAACGGCTCCTCCTATAAAATCACAGAGATTAACGAGAAGTAAAACCTTCACGAGGTTGTGGAAGTTGCTAAAAATAAAAACGATTTGTAACTTTTTCTGTCAGACGCCTTGCTCAAACAAATGCCATAATGGTCAGAGGTGTAGCTATGACTTTGATAACAGACGATATGCTTGCCTCTGTGAGATGCCATACACTGGAATGTATTGCGAGAAGTCTCGAGGTAACGTTTAAACAACCTGGGCCGGATAGTTCAAAGCTGGGTTAAACACAAAGGCGCGCTATATAAGGAAGTCTTCCCAGGGAAGACCTGGGTTCATTTGTCACTCACCGTCGACGTGTGCGGGTCAAATTTAAATGCTGGTAGACGAACTGAAGGAGCTAATGAGATATCTATTGTTTACTTCCACCAGCATGGTGGCAATGAGGTAACGTGCGAACCACCTACTTCGATCTCAAATTTACCGCCACAAATGAAGACAGTTTCCATTGGAGGGAGGAAATACAAATCTCAAAAATTCTGGTATTGTGATGAAGACATAAAGCAATTTTGAGGAATGCGCCCGCTATTCACTGCTTTGGAGTAGCTGTAGCTCAAGTTGACTTGACTCTTAAGAGTTCTACATCACACGACGGTTGACTGACAAATGGTCCATTGGGACCTAAGGCTCCTTTTATAGCGCGCCTTTGTGTTTAAGATAGCAAGGGGCTAGTGCGAAATCTGATTTCAGATCTGAAGGCTTTAAAGAAAATTCAGTAAAATTATTTTTGTCTACAATTTGGTGATTGATAGCCCTACAAAGAATAGTTAAAATTAACAAAAGCCTTTTGAACAAAGAAGTAAAAAAACTCGGATTAAAATTTTACCTTGGGATAGCGCTAATCGCCCTTCGAACAACTGGGCCTTGAGATGAGATAAGTCTTGCAGATTTTTCACAGGTCGACCTTCGTCTAATTCATTTTCACATTGGGTTAAGAGAAAGCTTCCTGGCGCATTGTCGCTCCATAAATCAGTAAGTTTGTTAGTTCCTATATACCCTCGACATTTTTTCCTGGCTTTTTTCTTTTCGTACCTGAGGAAAAAAAATTCATAGATTTTCATGTGCCGGGGACCTTTCCCACGCTTTTGCTTGAAGGAAGCTTTAAGTTTAGGGAAAGTAGTGGTAATTGCTATATTCAATTACTATGCTATATTCAATCTTGGGGTGATAACACTTTCACAGTTTTGTTATCTAATTTATTGATTTTTTTGTTTATATTGACTGTTAACTTATTTATTTATCCATTTGTGTTTTTTGACTGCCTTTTTGTTTCAGCAATGGAATTCCTTTTCACTTCTCTTGGTGCCCAAGGCAACACTGGGCCGACATCAACAGCTGGTTACAAACACACACCTCTACAAGGGACAGTAACACTCAACAAAGGAATACAGATCTGGACTGTTCCATTTACCGCGCGATATTGTGTCACTGTGGTAGGGGCATCAGGAGGGAACGGACTTGAACCAGGTGGGAAAGGTGCAATTGTGAGTGGAATTGTAAGACTTATCAAGGGTACTGTCCTTCACCTTTTGATTGGTCAGAAAGGTGTGAAAGGATCTTCTGCAGCAGGAGGGGGTGGAGGTACATTTGTAGTTTTCAGTAATAACACCCTTATAGCGGCAGCTGGCGGTGGGGGTGGTGGAGGGGGTCAGATAACATCAAAGGTAGGCGACGATGGCCAAAAAGGAAGAAAGGGAAGCAATTACGGAGGCGTCAATGGTCTGGGTGGGAAAGTGTGTGCTAACGAGTCCAACAATGCAGGTGGAGGCGGTGGGTTTAGAGGAGATGGGAAATGCTCCCTCAACATAACATGCGTTTCTCCTCGATCATGCAAGGAGGCTGGGATGTCATATTTGAATGGTGGCGTGGGGGGGGAAGGAAATGGAAATGGGGGATTCGGTGGGGGTGGGGCGGCATTTAAGGATTTTGCAGGAGGAGGAGGTGGGTATTCTGGAGGGGGAGTGCATGCCACATCGTTTGCTTCACGGACAGGAGGGGGTGGATCCTTTGATGACGGTGTGCCCGTGTCAAGTAGTGGAGTTTCACATAATAGTGCCGACGGATACGTGTCCTTTAGATACCCCTAATGGTCTGCAATCAAACCAACATATTCAGTCCATCGTCCTTCCTGTATAATGTTTTGCAATTTTTTCAAAGACACAAACTCAATGACGAAGAATCGCAAACGCTATATTACCTTGTGAATCAATCACATGATTAATAAACGTCAAAATGTATGTGTCATTGATCAAGAGTGAGGTTAAGATGGCTGGATATTGGTCCAGTTCTTAATTTTTTTTTTTTTTTGCGCAAAGAAAGAACGAGGCTAATATCCAGCCATCTTGACCGATAAAACTTGGTTAATAAAGGATTTGATATATGGCAGAAGGAATTCAACATAAAACGAATTAAGAATGACTTGTTTATTTCGAGAGCTGGGAAAGAAATCAAGCTCTGTTTGTAGCACATTTAACCCACGAGAACAATATAATAATTGTTCTAAAAACACGACAGTAACAGTGGGCCCCTGAAGGTACATTGCTGCGTAGTGCGTTAATCACAGCTGTGGAATACCAGCCAATCACAGCTGAACGGGACGGGTCATAAGGTGACACGAATCCAATCAACATGTTCGCCTTAAGAAGGCTTGCAGTATGCAGTCGAAATATCGAAATTCACACCGAAAGTGACCCCCAGGGTGATGCAGACGATTATACTTTACTACAAGAGTAATCACCACGATGACTAACTGCAATCTTTTTCAAAATACCATACATACCCGCCCGCAAACGTAATTGACTGAATTGGGAATGTGCGCATATTGTTTATTCGTTTATTGAATATTGATATCTTGAGGATTAAAGATATCTTTATGGAATTTCCAGTTTTATTAATATGTGTAGACCATACGTTGAGCTGTCCGACGTCTGTTTCAAACTGGTGCTTCTTGGGCCCTATTCTCAAC